AGTCCTGATCAGCTGGACCCCAGCAGCAAGCTAACCTATTGATCAGAGCGTCTGCCCCCTGATGGTCAGTGCACGTCATAGCGACTGGTTGACCGGTCCACTCTCTGCTCCCTGGTGGTCACTGCACGTCATAGCGAGTGGTTGAGTGGCCTTAGCATATCATTAGCATATTATGCTTTGATTGGTTGAATGGCCGACTGGTCAACCGGACAATTAGCATATTGGGCTTTTATTATATAGAACTAGAGGCCTGGTGCATGACATTTGTGCACTGGGGGGGGGGGTGGTCCCTCAGCCTGATCTGTGTCCTCTCGCAGTCTGGGACTCTTCGGGGGATGTCCGACTGCTGGCTTAGGCCCGCTCCCTGGGGGACATTCCCAGAGGGGTCCTTAGCACTGCTGCAGAGGCAGGAGAGGCTCCTGCCACTGCCGCTGTGCTCGTCAGCTGTGAGCCTGGCTTCTGGCTGAGCAGTGCTCCCCCTGTGGGAGCACACTGACCACCAGGGGGCAGCTTCTGCATTGAGCATCTGTCCCCTGGTGGCCAGTGTGCATCATAGTGACTGGTTGTTCTGCTGTTCGGTCGATTTGCATATTAGCCTTTTATTATATGACTAGAGGACTGGTGCATGAATTCATGCACTGGTGGGGTCTGGCCGGCCCACCCCTACTGCAGCCAATCGGGCCAGCGGGGAGAGGGGACGTGGAAGGTTGGCCAGCTGGCCCCACCCCCTGGTCTAACTCCAGGGGACAATTTGCATATTAGCCTTTTATTATATAGGATAAGGAACTAGTGACTCAGAGATGTGATGCCATACCCCCCAGATTATAGATTATTATCTTCAAAAGGCAGAGAGATAATAATCTAATTTGAGCTCTGAATTTCTGGTGATAAGTACTGGGGACGATAAGCTTCAAATGATAAAGTCATGTTAACTTTCAAAAGTACAAACTGCAAGGCAAAAGGAAAGATTAATTTGATTATACCAAATAAAGAATTTCTGTTCAATTAAAGACACTATAGACAAAGTTAATGGACATAACATAATAAAAAATATTTTCAAAGTTTAACCAGTTAACTGCCACAATAATTTGAATTTAATTAAAAAAGGTCCACCACTTGCGTCTATAGATGCGTATGGCATACAAATGGTTAAAGTTGATCACAGATCAATACCTAGAACTTCTAGAAATCAAGAAAAATAAAGCAAACCCAATTTTAAAAAAGAGCAAATAATGTGAACATGCAATTAGGAAAGAGGAAGCCTCCCCAAAAGTCAACAAATATATCAAACTCACTATTTATTAGAAAAATACAAGATCAAGCAACCATGTCACCTGACACCTGCTGGAAAGCGGGACAATGCTACAAGGTATGGGTAAGGATAGGGCTTCACATCTTCGTGGGGAAGAGGGGGAGGGGGAGGGGGCTCCAGCCACTCAGGAAGCAATGTGGCAGCCTTAGTCAAAGTCAACATATACGTGCCTGTGGTCAGCAATCCTGCCCAAAGAAATGCTCCCAGCGGGACTGGCCGGAGGCTATTAGGAGTAGCATGCTTGTGGAATTACAGCATAATTTTCGTGATCTCTGTGGATCCATCACTGGGGCGTAGGGGGCGGGGGGAGGATGGTAAAGTCTCTGGAGATCTCTGTGGGGCATGATGCACAGTTATATGTATGTGCACGGTAGACTCAAAATGACAGGGACAGGTCATACAACCAGTTTAGGACAAAAGTAAGGACCAGAATGAGCTGAGTAACATAATTTAAAAACAAGCACCTCAAATAAAAAAGGTTCTGCAAGTACACACAGGAACAAAACATAAACATCTCACACATTAGAATGGTTGCCTAAGCGTGACATGGGTACCTGGCTAGTGGTCCCCTGGGCGAGTTAAAGACAGGGGCGATGGTCCCCACCCCAGCTGCTGGCTCAGGCTCCTTGGAGCAATTCGCTAAGGCTAAGGCCGCAGTCTTTGGGGCAGAAAGTGGGCTCAGGGGCCAGGCCTCGGAAGCAAGGGCAGCTAGAGAGGAGGCTGCCCTTCCTCACAGCCCACCCACCCCGATGGTGAGACTCTCACTTGTAGAGATGAATTCGTTTGGCTTTGTGCTTGGGTGGCGGGGAGGATTTCATAAGTCTGCTCAATGAGTAAACATTAAGGATAGTTTAGACAATGGGGCTTAGAAAAGATGGTGGAAGGGATGGAAGAGGGAGGTAGACTGCGCCAGGTGGTCAGAATCAGATAAAGAGATGGCTGTAACACCCAAGCCTTCCCTTCCTCTCAACCTTTTTTTTTTCTTTTAGAACCCATGGAATGAACCTCTGTGGAGCACTGGGGAGGTTCAAATCACTCATCACTTGCATTGTTCAGTGCAGGGTGGGGTTAGCCCTCCTGCTTTACAGTTAGGGAACATGAGGCCCGAGAAAGTAACCTGGCCTCCCTCACAGTGGGAGTGAGTGCATCCTCGTTGTCCTCCTGCTGCCCAGGGACACCAGGCCTTCCCCTGCTCTGTTGTCCTCCCTCTAGAGCTGTCTGCCAGCAGCTGTCCGTGAGGTCTGCAGTCTCACCCTGGGACCTGTGGGCCTCTCAGAACTGCTCCAGCAGCTCTCACCCGGCTGCAGCAGGTCTAGGAAGTCTAGGCCTCCTCAGAGACTCTGCTGGAGGGAACTCCTGGGGTTTAGCTGGGTTCCAGCAGCTTCCTCTTTGCCACCCACACCCCTGAGTCCTTATTTGTGGCTCCTCTAACCAGGTCCGGCTTTTAGAGAACTGGAGATTGTCCCTCCACACTGTTTTCCACTCTGATTGGAATCTCCAGTTTCCTGAGATTCAAGAAGTGGGCGGTGGGCAGGCGGGCAGGCGGGCAGGGAAACCTTTATAGCGGAACATCAATAAATTCCCTGAGAGTAGTATAAACAAAAGGACAGGGAAAAATCTCTGCAAAACAACAACATGGCAGTGTTTGGCCACATGCTAAAGCATTACAAGAACTAGGATTTGATGCAGGTCAAAAAATTATGCTCGTCAAACCCCAGAATTGCACAAAGTCCTGATGAGATGCCATCAGGAAGGTGGCTTTCAGCCAGCCCCTTGGAGCTCCTCACCCGCTTCACCCCCTGCCAACTATGTACGTAGCCTCAAGCCCCAGTCCAGTCACTCTGAGTGAAACTTAAAAGAAAATAATTCCATCCAACATTCTAAAAAGCATTCAAAGCATTCCTGGTGGTGATGGGTTGGAACTTGCAGACGGCCCCCGCCTCGCCCAGAGTCCTGTCATAAACACTTGATAAGATGGTTAACACCAGGAGCTCAGTGACTTAAAGAGGAAAACAGTATTATCAGAGAAAACTAGGAATTCTTCCCCGCCCCCCCACCCCAACCACCCCAAAGGAGTTTACACAACTGTGGAGAAAAGGGTGTCACAGAAAGAAAAGTTTACAAAGTTGTGGTTTATATGTGAAATCAAAACAAACTCATGTAAGGTTTATTCTACCCTTCTGGAGGGGAAACGGAGAAGTAGGCTAATAACAATTCAATTAGATAAATATTTATCTGGCCATTACTGTGTACTAAGCATCAGGCAGGTCCGGCTGTGAAGCCACACAGAGTTCTTGGGACCCACCATTCTTCTGCTGAGCACCCCATAAACTCTGGGGCTTGGGGATCCCTTTCAATTGCTGCTGCTTTGAGAGGTTCTGATAACCTTAAACCCAGCCATCTGCCCTCCTCTCCTCTCTCTAAAACGAGCTTTCTTGTTGAAGAAAACGAAACAACTGCACTCTCTTATCACCTTTTCCTGTCCTCCTTTTTCCAAGTTTCCAGGAAAAAATCCAGCATTGTGCTTTGCCAACCTCTGTGCTCTTCTCATACAAAGTGTCTTGTTAGGCCTCTGTTCCCCAGACTCGCCCACACCTCTCCTTCCCTTCCCCAGCCAGGACTTCACAGATTGCCCTGGACCCTTGCTCTGTTCTTTCTCTTCTGACGCTCCTAAGTTCTGGTTCCCAGTTTCTCCACAGACTTCCTTCCTCAAGGATAGCACACAGGGTTAAACTTGGGGGAGGGGTTTGCTTAAACACGCAAACTGGTTATACTTATTCATTCCTGTGTAACCCTCTCTGCTCCTTCTCCAAAATTCAGTCCAACAAATAAGGCAGCATCTTTAACAGAGTACTTGGGAGCTTGGACTTAAACTCTTGCACGTGTTCTAGGAGTCCCTCGTCTCTTAAGCTGGATGCTTCCTAAATCTCAGCTGCCAAACTGGTTTTATTGAAGTCCTCTGAAACCCCAGCGTTTTCAGCATTCTGGTCCTCTGTGGAAATTTCTTTCTTTTCTTAGATTTACACAGCAGTGTCTGGTAAGAAGAAGAACTAACATGTATAGAAGCTGCATGCACTTCGTGCCAGGCAATTCTGCGAGGTACATAGAGTTCTCACCCCCACTTTCTAGCTGCCAGAACGGAGGCACGGAGACAGTAAATCGCTTGCAACACTTAAGGTAGCTGAGCAGAGCACCTAACCGGAGGCTGGGAACTTCATCAAGGCCAAGTTGGGGTCAAAGGGCTCTGGAATCCATACATAACAGGTCTCCTCTTTTGGAGCTGGTGCCCTGGATCATGTACCCAAGGACTTTGACCTCGAGTTTTCCTTCCAGTAAAACCGAGATAAAGCATGCTAAGACAGCGGGAGCAGCAAGTGAGCGCGAGGCGTGACAGGTCTACTTGAGAGCTGCCCAACTCCGACGTGCCCCAGCTTATCCCTCTGATAGGCAGGGCTGGTTCCTGCTCCCCTAACTACCCACATCTCATGGTGGGAGCCCCAGCTTCAACACGTTTAGATGCATCATCCAAGAGACTTCTGCGTCTGTATCTACTTGGCACGCTGGCCTTTCTCCCTACCTCGCTCCCAGGCGCTGGCTGGCCACCCGGTGCCAGGCCATGGGCTCCTCCTCCACCCCGGCTTCCCTCTCGGTTCCCACTCCGACCGGGGCTCCGGGGCCACCCGCTTACCATGGCATCGTAGCCCAGGGCGTTCATGAAGTGCGCCACCTCCGCTCCCTTGTACACGGTGAACCAGATGGTGCCCTGGTACTGGTCGCCGGCGTCGAGCAGCAGCACGTGGGGCTCGGCTCTGCGCAGCCGCTGCACCTGGGTGTAGAGCCGGGCCACGCCGCCCACGCAGCGGCTGGGGTGCATGCACTTTGCTGGAGTCCTCGCTGGTCTGCTCCAGCCGGCTGTCACGTCGATGGTGTGCAGGATGGTGAGCGTCTAGCGCCGGCCGCTGCCACAGCAGCGCGCATCAGCGCGTGAGTTCCTGGTGCAGGGCCC